GTTGGGCAGAATATCTGCGCGGAGAGCGAAGTGTCGGTGGTTCGAAATCCCTGGCCGCGTCAACCGAACGACGTTAAAGATGGTACTTCTTGTAACTGTGTCCTCCACATCAGCAACCAACTCTTGGTCCTTGTTAAATTTCTGTCAAATTTCTCGGGGCCAGATCTGGCGAATACGGTGGATGGGGTAGAAGTGTGTATCCCCATTCCCTCACAGCAGCCATTGCTGTGTCATCCGCTTGGCATAAAGGGAATATGACAAGGACTGGTCGGTGAGGTGAGGTGTGATGAGACGAGGCGTTATGAGGTGAGGTGAGGTGCAGTGAGGTGGCTTACGCTCGGCATAGTCCCATTGCATGTTTCATCTCCACTATGGATCAGTTATCCTCGTAGAAGGTCGCATTCTGGTCTGTGAACCTGTCCTCCACATCAGCAACCAACTCTTGGTCCTTGTTAAATTTCTGTCAAATTTCTCGGGGCCAGATCTGGCGAATACGGTGGATGGGGTAGAAGCGTGTATCCCCATTCCCTCACAGCAGCCATTGCTGTGTCATCCGCTTGGCATGAAGGGAGTATGACAAGGAAGGACTGGTCGGCCCGGCCAGTTTATGTGTCTGAGAAGGGAATTCATGGTAAATTGCGGCATGGCATCTCAGTGGGCTAGCACTATAAAACCGTATACTAGTACAATAGAACAAGCAGCCGCACAAACAAGATTTACAGTACCAACTGTGTCCATGCCCAGCAGGGGATGGTGTACAGTGAATGCTGCCCATGGCGACTGATTTAGCAGTTTGGGGGTCGAGCGTATTTTAGAAGGCAATTGTTTTACAGCTAACTGAGGAAAGCGTCATATTTATTGAGAACATTGAATATTGTACAAAGATAGCTCATTTTATCCAGTTCTCTCTGCAAATTACCTCATGACCGCAATGGTTGATGTTGAAGTACGGAGATATGCCAATCTCATTAAAATCAGACCTCAGTTCTCGCTACCGCTGAACAATGATCTGAGGACATCCCATTAGGGGGCACGTCAGAACGACCTTTCATCCGACTAATCAGAGCATCGCTTACCAGATTATGAAAGTGACAGTCTTCTAATCATGCAACCTCGAAAAATTTACTCCGAACGATAGTTACGGGTTTAACGACTGAATCCATACAATCTAGACCATCTATTTGTCAAAATATGTTTCGAAGAGTGGTCGCCAATTTGCAATTAGTGCCGTAAAGCATGGAAAAGCTGCCTTCTGATTGGTCATTCCATTGGTCGGTCAAAGTTCGCGCAAGGTCGGTCTGACGTGACCCGTAATGGGATGTCCTCAGATCTTTGTTTAGCGGTAGCGAAAACTAAGATCTGATTTTAATGAGATTGGGAGATATGCGTGGCTGTATGAGGCTGGGTGAGGCGAGGTGAGGTGAGGTGAGGTGAGGTGAGGCGTGATGAGGCGTGATGAGGTGTGGTAGGCGAGGCGATGCGTAATGGGGTGAGGTGAGCTGTAGTGAGGCGAGGCGAGGCGTGATGTGGTGAGGTGGGTCAGGGCGAGATGAGGTAAGGCGAGTTGAGACGAGGCGAGGCGAGGTGAGGCGTGATGAGGTGAGGTGAGATTAGGTGTATTGAGGCGAGGTGAGGCGTGATGAGGTGAGGTGAGATTGGGTGTTTTGAGGCGAGGTGAGGCGTGATGAGGTGAGGTGAGATGAGGTGTATTGAGGCGAGGTGAGGCGTGATGAGGTGAGGTGAGATTAGGTGTATTGAGACGTGGTGAGGTCAGGCGTGATGAGGTGAGGTGAGGTGTATTGAAGCGTGGTGAGGTGAGGTGTGATGAGACGAGGCGTTATGAGGTGAGGTGAGGTGCAGTGAGGTGGTGTACGCTCGGCATAGTCCCATTGCATGTTTCATCTCCACTATGGATCAGTTATCCTCGTAGAAGGTCTCAATCTGGTCTGTGAACCGGCCCTCCACATCAGCAACCAACTCTTGGTCCTTGTTAAATTTCTGCTGAATATGTCGGGGCCAGATCTGGCGAATACGTAGGGTGGGGTAGAAGTGTGTATCCCCATTCCCTCACAGCAGCCATTGCAACATGGATTTGTTTGAATTTCAGAAAAGAACAAAGTTCAATCCTGTCAAAATATTTGATTTATCTATGCTCTACCTACAATCTTAATTCCAAGTACCATGGGGACGTTCTCACAAAACATGGTGACCCTAGTATATATAGTTTTATATCTATCGTCAAAGGGTCAAGGACAATTTGTCGAAACTGTGAAATGCTAGACTTCTTCATAGATGTGAAATTTGGAGATAAGAAATTTGGACAAGAATTAGGCACCCCCACGGGCACCCATTGTGCTCCCCTCCTCGCTGATGTGTTGCCTAATGCCCATGAATCATAATGTCTGCTCGGACAGGGAAAATCACATTCGTCACCACTCGCCCCTTTCCGTAACCTGCAAGAAGACTCTTCCCCCTATCGATGAATGTTATGTGCGAAAATACGACAAACCAATCAGAATGCGCGTATGATTTCAAGTTCTTCGTCAAAGAATCCCTCAGAATTCTTTTTTTATTTTACATGTGTCTTGTTTCTAAAAATATACCCAAGACACAGTTAAATGTGTTCAATCATATTGTATAAGTCCGCATGTCCCGATGTGCTTTAAATTGCATCGGAAATATATATAATATATGGGGAAATATATGTGAACCATTACACAACGAGTTGACAATTATTTTAGGTATGCCCGTTTGCGCTTAGACGGAACCCGGTCGCAAAAATGGCCGTGAGAAGGGCACGAGTCGCTATTCGGCTTGTCCCGGAATAACACGAGTTAGTCACGATTGGAAAATCAAAACACGGGAATTTCACCAAGACGATCATGTAAGCTTCAGGTATATCGACGATCGGATATTTTCCATCTGCTGATTTACCCATCTGAACAGAAATAGAAGAGACCAGTGACATTGTCTCATCTGTTTCATAATTAGATAATTAAATTTTCGTTGTGTTCACTGAAATTCCTGCATTCTGATTAGCTGAATTGGTCACGTGTTATTGCATTCATTTCCCAATGAATGTAACAAATTAAGCCACGCCCACCGACGCGGACTACGCTTATTACTACGGAATGTCGGGAATTCTCAATATTACAGTCGAGGGAATTCCCTTTCTGCTCACGTGTATTGTCATGCAGAGGACAAACAACTCTTTGAAACCGAAGGCCGAGGAGGAATGAGACAGCAAACGTGCAGACTCGCTCGACTGTTTTTGTCCCGCTCGCCTCGGTTCCACAACTTTCATGTCGTCGGGTTTCATTTCTGACTAGCATTTTTCCAACTGTGTCTTCCCATTCTCAGGGAACTAATGTTTGAATCTGGCGGTAACTGACCATGTCATTTAAAACAGCCGCCTTCTCCCGAATATATTTGTTCCGGTTCGTTTACAGTCTGACTATTGCAGTTCTTCTCGCTTCTTGCCTTGATTGACAGGTCCTGTGAACTTTGTTTTTATCTAACTCTCCGTTGATTGGCTACTGACTTTGTAGGCGTGTCAAGCTATGTGCATAAATTAAACAATCACCGGATTCATGTCACGCCACAGTACGTATTCGTACACACGGAATGTTTATCAATCTCTACATTTTTGTCTGCTTTTATATATACAACTGTTTTTGGTTAAATTATTGTAGGTAAAACATGTTTTCGTTGTCAAATTTAATTTTAAGCATTGAAAATGTATTTTTTTCGGTTCATTAAGCTACGCGGATTCATACAGTTTGCACAACGGTTTTTCGATTCATACCTCAAAGAATCGGAAAAAAACACTGTCAATCCTTAAAGTATATGCATAAATATTCAGAGTGAGTGAGTACGGTTTTACGCCGCATTTTGCAATATTCCAGCAATATCGCGGCGGGGAACACCAGAAATGGGCTTCACACATTGCACCCATGTGGGGAACTTTACCCGGGCCTTCGGCATGACGAACGAACTCTTTTGGCTACACCACCGCCCATATTCATAGTGACAAAAGACTGTCCAGAAGACTGTATATGACAAGAGGAATGACTTCAACTTCCAAAATAGTCAACTTTCCCTTTACGTCGAGGAATATTCCAACATGTTTGGTGTCCACATTTCACAATGTTTGAGATTCAATCGAACATGCTTTCTTCGAATATTTCAAAAGGCTTCATACGTCTCTTGTCCAAAACAAGTTCCGTCAGAGTCACAACGTCCAAGGCCCTAGTGAAGCTTTCAAAAGGTTTTTCAAACTTGACGCATGAGTGACCAAAATGATATCCGACGTCTATCTTGACATGTACCATAAATTAATATTTTTTTATGTGCCCGTTTTTGCTCAGGTGAAGACATGACATGACTTATGTATTCATACCATGTTCACCGCCAGTTGACTGATAAAATCGGAATGGTAGAGTGGTACAAAAGGGATTTGTCAATTTTTATTCTCTCAACCCACACGAGTAGCATGACGTCTTTAGTGACTGTGAAGTGTAATGTGACTGTCGTTCAGGTTTGTTTGTTTGTTTGTTTGTTGTTTAACCGCACTCTATCAATATTCCAGCTATAAGACGGCGGTCTGTAAATAATCGAGTCTGGACTAGACAACCCAGTGATTGACATCATGAGCATCGATCCACGCAATTCGGATACGATGACATGCATCAACCAGAGCAAAATGGGTTGCTGAAGTTCATTCTACACCGGATCTTCACGCGTCTATCGTTCAGTACCAGGTTTTGGACGGCATCAATTTTTTTGCAGGTGTTGGTGGTGATCAATATTTCCTTTGGAGGTGATGAGAGCGATTAGATATTTTTAATATTAATATTAATGTTGTAAATAAAGCGGCAAAACCCTTTTTATAAGTAACCTCTGCTAAAAGTAGAGTCACCTGACTATATCATGAGCACGTGTTTATGAATCACGATCAAATCACGTTCCAGTGACAAGTACATATTTAAATTTGTCTTTACCTTATAATTGTAGTGGCCTGTTTCATCCTCTGATATTTCAGCACTTCTCTCTATCCAGTAGAGTGGGATAGGTCGACCGAGGTACGACACTTTCAATAACTTCCTTCGTTTGGCGTTGATATTTTTGGCTGTCACTCCAACGTTGAACTGGAAGCGGAATTTCCGCTGCCAAAGTCGACCAGTATCTGGCTCCACGTCAATCTAGCGAAAGTGCACGAACAAAAGAACGTCAATAGGTGCATTGAATGTTGAAATGACATGACCGTAGGCTCCAACATAAAGGATTTTCATCGTACAATCTGGTTACGTTATTGTTATTGTTACGAATAGGATGGATTTTGTTAAGATAGATTCAACACATATATGAGATAATATTTAGCAAAATTCAACCACCTAATGCTAGAAATGTCTGTTCAAGCTGGATACGATCCAGTATCGTTGTACTGATGATGAAGTCAGCTCTTTTACTCTGAACCACAATTTCGTAACGGCTTTTAGGGGATACGGCTAGCCAGGTCGTCTAAGGTGACGCAGTTCGCTATACAGAGTTACATCCCTTGGGTGGTCAGAAACCTGTGATCGGGGATTCGAAACCCAAATTCGACCTGATTTTGTTTCTTGGTTTGTCAGTCACAACCGTACTCGTGGGTTTCACCAAAGTAAACTACCTGCTTCACAAGTAGAACGATCCATTAAGCTCACCTTGCAGCAATGATACAGGATACTTACAGAAGATATATGCTTTGTGATGGACCCTCCCGACTGAGCTCCAATGGGGTGTGATCCAGACGAGTGAACGAAGTGAGGGTTGCTCATCCACACAAGGTAGGAGTACAGTCCCGCCATGTTCTGCACACCATCGTGAACGTCGTAAGCTCCATGGCTTGAAAATGTGTCTACACCAATAAGGTAAATAAGGTCAACCCCTGATTAGATAAGGTCAGATAAATCAAAATATTAGGTACAATGAATGCAAATATAAAATGCCGGGTAAAAGAAAGTAAGACCCATGGCTGATGGTGGCTATTAATGAAACAGACAAGAAATGATAACTAAAAACGTTTTGATAACGTTTTAAATTTTATGGTCAAATCCAAGTTTCAAGGGTATAGTTTCTTTTGTCCGGTAGTTTAATCTCCGTGCAGTGTAACAAAATGTGTTGTATAGTGTAAAATAGCGTATTTCGACACATGGGACATAATTGTACGGCTCAAATGAGTTCGGTATATCCAGGGAATATTTCCACGCGAAATGTTTGCACCCCGTTCGCGAACAAGGGGTAGTTTGTCTTGGACAGTAGTGTAGATGAACCATATGTGCATTTACACTTACCGTTAGCCATATAAAATGTGTATACAGCGTTGTCGAACATTGAGGACGGGGTGTCACCGTTAAAATACACACTCCTCCACAATTCTGGAATATAGACTTTGGGAGACTTCTGAGCTGGTTGACAAGCAACACATGCTTGTAGTTGACCACAGGCTGGTACAAAGTCCGTGTGTGAGGAGAGATAGACATTCATTTCACTAGCTTTAAGAAGACCTTTCGGGGCAAGGTGACTTCCGTTGATTTCTAAAGGGCAAGAAAAAAGTGTTAAAACAGTGATAGGAGAACCATTCAGCTGGTAAAGATTCAAAACAACACACTCTCATGTTAAGCACCCGACTGTGACTTGTGGATCTTTGTAATAAGCGATGGAATCCATTCAGCTGAATGTATCTTCAGCCTGGATATCTCGAAATCTCATTACCTAAGTCAAAATAATTTAGCACCTAGACGTGTTTATTTACAGCTCCTCTAATTATCACTAAAAAGGACCGATCCCTTTTCACGCTCTTTTCAACACTATTTCGTTACATTTTTAATTTAAAGCGCAAAATATCCTGCCTAAATTCAAATAAAATTCTTCTCGACATGCAAACATGATTCGTCCCAATACAACAAGGATTTGCAGGATTATTGTGAATCAAATGCACACCCAGGTATATAGGTTGAAGCAGGGGAGTCCTTTCACTGAGGCGACTATGCTTGTCGTAAAAGGCGACTAACGGGATCGGGTGGTCAGGCTCGCTGATTGGTTGATGCATGTCATCGATCCCAATTGCGTGGATCGATGCTCATGGTATCAATCACTGAATTGTCAGGTCCAGACAGGATTATTTACAGACCGCCGTCATATAGCTGGAACATTGCTGAGTGCGGCGTTAAACAACAAACCAACCAACCAACCAACCTTTCACTGCTTCTTTTAGAAACATAATAAACCTAATACTACACCCTCACATGATTGTATTGCACCTACTTTTAACCATCATATTGTTGTCAGTATCCCGGTCCTGAAGACACGTGGCCAGCGTCCAAACTGAACTCAGCTCACTTCTAGATCCTTCACTGGGTCCCAGACTGGACCCCAGACTGGACCACGGGTCAGAAAATACACCTGGCACAAAAATGGTCGTCTTATCTTGACCTTCCCGAAAGTACCCAAATGCCAATTCAGACTGATTTCTCGTCGTCACCAGATCGTTCTGAAGACTCACAATGGCGGCTTCGTGAACAAATGCGGCTATATGTGATAATATGAACGCTGTTATAGCTTCTATGTAGGCAGTTGATGCTTGTATGTTAGTAGGAAGGACAAAGCAATGACTAGGGTTTTGCTGACTGCATAGAAAATGTTGGATTTGAGCAGAGAAGTTTTGAAAACACGACACAGATCCCGAACTGAAAATATTCAGCAGAGGAATAATACCACATTCTACATTTGAGTTCACCCCATCAGGAACAGCGAAGGCACAGCCTATTTGACTCGCCCACGATAAACACTCCGTGTGAGACGAGTTACCGCTGAGCAAAGAAGGTGATGTTAATAGATTATATAACCCCACCAGCTCCTCTTCCGTAAAAGAGCTTTGTCCTTTCTCAGTCAATATCACAGATTTATATGACGTGTCGTTTTTGCGAATCCACACACCAAATGACAACTCGTTCAAGTCTGTGGTCGAAGGTAATCGCGTCGACCAATATGCGTCACATGTCGTGTTCAAACACCCCAAGGCAGGAAGTTTGTCGGTGATGTTTTTGAATACATCAATGCCAAGGTTAATCATGGCTGTTGTCAGAGTGGAAGGAATCGCGGCTATAGTGTAGTCTGATTCCGACCCAAAACTTGTCGTCTTTTGAAGAAAATCCTGATTGATAACTGTCAACTGTAATAAAAAAAATACAGAGTCGTGGAATTTTTCAAAGTTCACATGAAAAACAATGGAGATACAAGATACATTTAAATCAGTATCGCACCCCTCACAGTGAGCGAGTGAGTTGGGTTTAACGCTGCGTTTAACAGTATTCCAATTATATCGCGCCATGTCAGCTTAATGTGGGAAGAAAAGCCGAAGTGATGCAGGTCTCAGACGTTTACCACTTCGGTGAAACCCCCGAGCACGGGTATGGTGGTGTCAAACCTTGAACCATAATCGGGGCGAACTGGGATTCGAACCCATGGTCAAAGGTTTCTGGCGTGCCCAAGGGACGCAACTCTGCACAGCGAATCGCAGCGCCTTAGTCGACTAGACCACCCGTGCACCCCCATTTAAGTCAGCATCACACTCCTTAGGTCATAACAGTTCTGCAGATGTTGTATTGTTTATGAACCAGTGCATTGATTGACAATACTTTCCTAATCATTTCCTTAACCGTGCAGCTTGAGTTTCAGGGAGTCTAGTATATTAGACACTGCATAAATACATTCAAGAAGTCATAAACGAAATGGCAAAACTACTATAACTGGCTCCACATATCACATTTACTTTTGCTCTAATCAACTCTAAACAAAAGTGGGAGGTGGGCTGATTGATATCACATGCCACTACTCGCTGTGTAGAGTTGTTTTCCTTAGAATTGCCAGGATCTGCTGATCTTGGGCTCGAATACCAGATTCGATTTATTCCAACGATGGTCTTTCAACACTAAGACAGTGCTCGTGAGTTTGACTAAAGTTCATGCCATGTAAGATCTGCGTTACATCGCCTAGCTTCCCACATTAACCACACCCGTGAAAAAATGACATACTCTTCAAGTGGCGTTAAACGCAAGGCATCATTCTCAAAAACATTGACTGAATCACTATTAGAATATGGCAAAGTATACCATTCAGGGTTACAAGGAAACAGTCTCGCTAAGTAACAAGGAGTACTATAGACGATGGGGGTACTACGCCAATCCGCATAAAATTATATCATGATGCGGCAAGACGACACTTTGCTAAGCAGTTGCTACATTTTGTTATAGTTACTTAGCAAAATGTAGCAACTTAACTGCTTAGCAAAGTTTCTTAGCAAAATGCAGCAACTACTCGGCATCATTATATAATTTTATGCGGATGGGTGCAGTACCCCCATCGTCTATACTACTCAAGACTATATCAGCCACACTTTTACTTCCAACGCGTGAAGTACAGGTGCGGTGGGGTAGCCAAGTGGTAAAAGCGTTCGCTCGTCACGCCGAAGACCCGGGTTCGATTCCCGACATGGATACAACGTGTGAAGCCCATTTCTGGTGTCCCCCGCCCTGAATATTGCTAAAAACAGCGTAATACCTACTCACTCACTCACTCTCACTCACTCACTCACTCACTCACTCAATCACAAGAAGTCTATTTGTCAGGTTTAAACAGCTTTACCGGCTCTTGTTCTGTGCAGTCAAAGCCGCACTCGTAGGCAGTGAGAGACGCATCAAACACATTCCGTCTTCGCAGTCGAAGCCACACTTCGTTAACGTTGAACGTGATGTCAGTTTTTTCCTCCGTCTCGCGGTAGACGTAAGGACCTCTCTCTTTTACCTGTTTTAATCAACAATTATCCCGCATCAAAATTATCACCTGTCAGTAAGAACTGCATTAAAATGAAACGTTTACTCTGAGGCGATATCATATGCATCTAGATGTGAGGACGCCTCCATTAGGACGTCGCACTAGATGAACCTTTTAATCAGCAAATCAGGGTCCATGCGTCTAAAGTCTTGATGGGAGAAACATTCAGATCAGCATATCTGATTTCTGTACCTCGAAAATAATATAAAGGATATAAGCTGCGCCATTTCTGCCGTTTCTGAGCACAATGGCATTTACACGGAAGAGGGAGTGGCATCGAAGGATCAGTTACGTTCTGTGTGGGTTTTCTTATGTTAAAATCAAATTTCCGAATCGATGTAGAATAGAAATGAAACCGAATCGTTTTAAAAAGCTGACATCTGATTGGCTCAAGACCCTAGTGTGCATCCTAAACTTGATTGGAGTCAAAGTTTACGCAGGGTTCATATCGCAGTAAAGATCTGATTTAAATGAGACTGTGTCAAAAAGTGAAGCAAACGATGAGAAATGCGCATTTATGTATTTAAATAAAATATTTTAGGGGTGTGGGGGTCGGGGTGTACCAAAATTAACTATCTGTAAAAATCGGATATCTTGAAATGGGTTTCTGTAAAAACTGCCAAATTGAGGATGAATTTCATGGTTTATTAGTATGTGATGAGTATGAACATCTTAGAGAAAAGTATATTCCGATGTTTAACAATAGACATAAAAACAAGATGTTAATGATCAGTCTTATAAAATCCAACAAGTCTGCTGTTACACGCTCATTAGTAATATAGTTGAAACATATATTCCCTGTCAGATAGTTTTTACTTATCATGTATATCACGTGACTAAACAAATGAAACTGAAAATGTCAACTGTACAAAAGGCCATGTAGCCTTAATATCGAATAAAATATCTATCTAAAATTAAGTAATTGAACACTGAATATCCCGAGAAGGGATGTGCTTAAGTATGTGATTTGTGAAACAGTGACCGAATTATATTCTTAAACATGACATTTAAATATTAAATTGCCGATCCTCTTGTAGGTTCCTACAGACATATTGTATTTCATTAACGATATTCAAGGTATTTAAATTTCATTGTACAGCACATAGCATGCGATTATAACACCGCTTACTTCATCAATATGTGATGTTATCGAGATAAATATACTCGGGTTTGCATTAACAGGTGTATGTGATAGGTTTGATGTGATCTGAGTGAGTGAATGTTGTTTTATACCCAAGCAAGCAATATTAAAACTGCATCTCTCTCATCCGCGCAGTGTGTCCACTCGATCCTCATTTTAATGAGGGGGGCACGGGAGGCCCAGTCGTCTGAGGCGCCGCGATTCGCTGTGCAGAGTTGCGTCCCTTGGGCACGCCAGAAACCTACGATTGCGGGTTCGAATCCCGGTTCGCCCCGATTATGTTTCTAGGTTTGTCAGCACCATACCCGTGCTCGTGGGTTTCACCGAAGTGGTAAACGTCTGAGACCTCGACACTTCGGGCTTTTCTCCCACATTAAGCTGACACGCCGTGATATAACTGGAATACTGTTAAAAGCGGCGTTAAATCCAACTCACTCACTCACACTGTGACATGTGACTGCGTGTCGTGCCCTTGTGTACCGTGTTTCCCTGTCAAGACTCAATTATTTACAGACTGCCGTGTTCACCTTATGTGATAGAATTCCATTCACGGCAGTTAACTTATTAGATTGCATTTATGATCTATGTCACAATAACTTTTGCCTTTGAATACATGTCTTTCTTTACCATTCTTAGTTTAGATAATTTCTTTCTATGTAGCGGCGGACGTGGTCTCAAGATTGACATAAATGTGCTTCAATATATTTGCTATTGCATAAATATGTTTCATTTAACACATATATTAGACAAAAGAGCGTCTTTGTTAATACACACCTTGGGTTCCTCTCCGTGAAATAGAAAGCCTTCTTTGTTTTCAAGCACCCAAAAATAGATACGATTCATTCGCTTCCACTGAGATCCCGTTCTCTAAAATACAAATACGAAAGTAAATTACATATATGGTGAGGTGAGGTGAAACGTGGCGTTCAAGATCACTGGTACAGTGTGCGTGCGTGCGTGCGTGCGTGCGTGCGTGCGTGCGTGCGTGCGTGCGTGCGTGCGTGCGCATATGTATGAATGGCTGATTGATTTTATAGTGCCAGCCCACTGAGATACCATGTCGCAGTTTAACATGAATACCCCACTCAGACATTATCCCCTTTATTCCGAGCGCCAGGCAGGGTAACAACAAGTACCATCTTTTCACGTCTTAACAAAATCGTTATCAAGTGTTTTCGAATCGCTATCAAAATAGTGATGATACCAAGTGTTTTACATCTTACATATATAACGTTAATATAACTATTAATTATATCAGCAAGACGTGTTGATGCTTAACGGTGATTTACTGTCAGTTACTTAAGCTAGCAATTACAGAGCACGTTTAATGATCAGATAACACAGTGGCTTGTTTCCAGTGGAAACTATTATTGTAAGACTATGTAATCTTGCTTCAGAAATTGGACATAACATAATACTCGCACCTGACTGTGATAAACGGGATGGAAAATATTATTAGTTGATAAATTTATAAAGCACTAAGTAACACCTGCACAGCAGATGTGTTTCGCGCACGGGTTTAATATATAATAATAATCCCTAAACACGATGGTTTTTAAAAAAAAGAAAAGCCAACTCAAGGATGCCATGCTCATATTTCATTGACATTATGTTTTTACCATTATTATTTTTTCTTCCATGACATTGAAGAATGTTTGATCCTGAACAGTCAAAATATGATTAAAACAAGTAGTTAATTTCATTAGATACCTCAATATAGGCATGCCTTTTCACACAAAAACCTTGAGCACGAATCCATCGATCCATCGATAGCCTACGCATCGATGAATGTAACAATGGATGCCGGTAACCCTTCAGAATGGTGTCCGTTCTCTATCAGAAGAACAGGTTATGAACATGATGAAATCTATTTTAGAACACACACAATTAGGTAAAACACAAACTGACCACTGTGTCAGGGGCACATCATCACCGATCACACAAATGCGCAGACTCTCAGACAGTCTGGTGTGGTACAATGCCTAGTCGTATTCTGCTAAAAACGGCGGTATTAAGCAATACCCCAGGGCGACTTCGTTGGCAATGAGGTTGTGCCAGCAGGGTAATTAACACCAGTAAATCAGCATGTTGATGGTGAACATAGTTAGAGATCAGGGTTGTCATCTGGGTTCAAACACTTTGTAAATAACACTGCCACAACTATTTTGGCCGCTATGGACAGTCGTGAGTAACCGCAGTAGGTCCAATTCAGCCATGTCGAAATTCGGGTTGGAGAGAAAGTCATTCTGAATAAGTAATACTGTTACTTGGGAGTTCCAACTGGTACACAAGAACAGTTCAAAATATCTAAAGTACTGTTATTTAAGGTGTTTTTTTAATACAATGTTGATTTCCAAGAAATGACTTGGTTGAGGTTTCGATACATTTTAATATATCTCTAAGAAGGGTTATTTCTTTTGCAAACGTATGTATTTTGTTAGCATTGGTTTGCATATAACTAATTAATTAATATTGAACTTGAGTATAGTGTATTTGATGTAAGTAACGTTTGTCCCTAACTACGACGACTTGCATTTTTGGTCATTTTAAGCAAGAGGTTTTGATTAGATATCCGTTATGAAATGAACACTCGTAAAAATTGACGACAAGCACTCGAAAAAACGAGGAGAAGCATTCAGAAAAACTGACGACAAGCACTCAGAAAAACGACGACAAGCTCTCGAATAAACAAGAAGCACTCAGAAAAACAACGTATTGCATCTTTCGTCATTTAAGGCAAGAAGGTTTTGCATTCACATTAGCATCTCATCCACCTGTGATCTCTTCCCTGCCGGATGAAAAGGAACTTATTTGGACCTAAGGCAATTGCTTAAGGAAACGCCACACGTTCGGTATTACCCTCGATGCAGTTTGGGCAGGACCAAAGACAACCCAAAAGAGTCAAGGTTGCCGATCACTGTCATCCATCAACCTACTCTCCGCCGCTGACAAAGCAAGGATCAGGGATTCGAAATTAATCGCCATCGGGTCCTGACACAGCCAAGGGACTCAACTCAACAGAATTGCGGTGATTGAGGCCTCAGTACTGGTCCAATGCCCAAATAAACCATGTTTCATTTGCCGACACGGGGTGCTTAAATAAAATGTCTGGAGACAATGATGATTATGGTTATACGCCAGTTTTAGCAATATTACGCGGGGAGACACTAAATATGGGCTTTACATATTTCGTACTCACGTGAGGATAGAACCCACAAGGCTACCCCGCTGCTCTCAAACTTTTTTATAACGAACTCCAAAACAAACCAGTTTATGATCTTGGAGTTACATGCATATTTCCACTTAAGAAAAAAAGGTTTAACTCGATGCTTGTGTCATCATTGTTACAGTTTAATTATCGAGTCGGATTCGGAACCTATCGAAACATATCCGAGAGAGACGTGGTGGTACTGGTCTGTGAAGTGGGGGTATGTGGCTTTTGTTTCTGGTGTTTACTGTCAAATGTCAAATGTTTGCTGTCTTGGCAGTCAGTGACTTACTGTAAAATCTAGGTCTTTTCGGTCTGCTGCCAGATCTTGGTCTTGACTGTCCAGTGCTTACTGTCAAATCTATTCCTTCACTGTCTGCTGCTTACTATCAACTGTAGGTCTTGACTGTCTGCTGCTTACTCTCAAATCTAGGTCTTGACTGTCCAGAGCTTAGTGTCAAATCTAGGTCTTGACTGCCCAGTGCTTAATGTCAAGTCTAGGTCTTGACTGTCCAGAGCTTGATATCAAATCTAGGTCTTGACTGCCCAGTGCTTAATGTCAAGTCTAGGTCTTGACTGTCCAGAGCTTAATGTCAAGTCTAGGTCTTGACTGCCCAGTGCTTAGTGACAAGTCTAGGTCTTGACTAGGTTTTGGCTGCCTGGATCCTTTGGCAAATTTAGATCTCGAACGACCATACCTTGTCGAGACAATCGAGTTTGATGAAATAATATTTTCTTTTAATATTGGAAACATACAACAATGTGCTTCCGCTGGATTTTGCTCAATATAATCAGAGCACTGATGAATACTCTGAATCCCTAAGCCATTGCGTTCTAGTAGAACATCGATACGTCACTTAAACAACCACATGTGCACCTACAGCCTTGTCAAGAGAGTAATTTCGTTGAAGAATACAAAGGCACATATAGAAGCTAATTTGTACTAATTTATGTAAAATATATACAAATAGATGTAATACAAGGTTGACATTAACCACAACATTATCATTAACACTTAAATAAATAAAAATACAACCGACATTTGCAAACAATACAATGGTTTCCTTGTTATGGTGTGCCTTTGGCGAATACTAGAAGACTAACAGTACAGAAGCTATTTTTTTACTTTGGAGTGAGTGAGTTAATGAATATGGTTTTACGCCGCTTTTAGCAATATTCCAGCTATATCATGGCGGGGGACACCAGAAATGGGCTTCACACATTGTACCCATGTCGGGAATCAAACCCGGGTCTTCGACGTGACGAGCGAACGCTTTAACCACTAGGCTACCCGACCGCCCCTTTAACTTTGGAAACAGGGATTGGTCAAAGTGTACTCGAGGTCGTGCAATCACTTCCACAGAGACATCTGTTCTGGCTATAGTTAGGCGATCAGGTATGGCTTAGACCACTCAGTGATATTAACAGATTAGTAGTGCTGATATCGATTAAGCCCAGTGGCTGTTATTATGAAGGCGTTTAGCAAATGCACCCGATGACCTCTCGCAAGAACAAACGTTCACACAATTATAATTAGCTTTTTCCTTTCATTGGACTGAATCGATGAAACAGTAACACAACACTATATAGAAAATTATGAACATTTTACGATTTCAGACTGAATTTTCGTATTGTGCTTGGAGAAAATAAAAGCGACAAAAGACTTTCCATATTCATAATAATTCCCTGCCAAAATCAGCGCCGATTATACGATTCCGACTATATCATGATCATGTGTTTATTAATCACTATCATATAGTGATGGTACCAGGTGTTCTCAAAAAAGGTAAGCGTATCCCAACCCTCCGATGGCACCCGTCACAAACACATGCGAAGTCAAGTCAATTGTTCACCTGCAAAAACACGGGAACATTTGGTACAAACCGCGTCAGTGGTCTAGTGGATAGAGTGTCTGCCCGAAGAGCGGAAGGTCGTGGGTTCGATCCCAAAAGACGTTAAAAGATTGTACCTGTTGTTACCCTGCCTGGCGCTCGGCATTAAGGGGCTAAAACAAGGACTGGTCGGCTCGGGTGAGTATACTGTGTCTGAGTAGGGTAGTTGTATTCATGATATACTGCGACATGGTATCCCAGTAGGGAAATGCCTACCACCTCGGCATTAGTCCGGATTAGTTCAAGCACACACACACACACACACACACACACACACACACACACACACACACACACAAACACACACACACACAAACACACACACACGGGCATGCACGTCGTTATATAGGTGCAATGATCTAATCTTGAACGTTAAACGTCATTTGACCCTACCTGTCATGCGACACGGGAGTATTGTACTTCGAACACCCCCCAAAAAAAATAGAAAAAAATAATAATAATAACGCCATATGGACGGCCCCTAACAAGTGTCAGGGACTGGGCAACACATGAACATGGCCATTAATACGCACAATATTTTATCGCAGAAGATGACGGAAAACGTGAAAATATCATCTTACGGACAATTACATGTTAACCACACGTTCAGTCGCCTACCTACTTTAAGGCGCTAAATTGCCCGTTATTGAGTGGTCTCAACCACTGGCACATATTACAACGTGACTCTGAGAAGATAGGATGTCATTCTCTACCACATTGATTGGTGTCTTTCGAGTACTGGCACATATAACAAGGTGACTTTGTGA